TGCTAGCAATGTTTGCGATTGTGTTTTTCTGTAGCCAGCAATTTACTTCTTGCAGGTCGACTAAATCGCGCTCTGTTAACTATAAACTATTTAATATTATTTATCTTTACAACTTAAGCAGTATTATATATAATATGTTATAACTGATAAAAACAAATCTTTCCGAAAGCAAGCTATAAGTGTATAATTTTTTTTTACCCCTGATTTTGCACTTCTCAGTCTTACATTAGAGCTTTCAGCCCTGAAATATGAATGGGCAACTTTAATATTTGAAGGAATTTCACTCAGTAGTGCCTAATTAGTCGAAAAACTAAAATTAAAGTTTATAAGACTCTTATTCTACCTGTATTGTTCTATGCAAGCGATACTCTTGGTGTTTTTGAAAGGAAAATCCTTAGAAATATTTTTGGCCCAGTACAGGAAAGAGGCTGTTGGCGAATCAGATGCAACTTTGAATTATATAGACTCTATGTACAGCCACAGATAATGCAGGTCATCCGACGCAATAGATTAAGATGGCTTGGGAGGTCTGGAGAGGTCCAGAAAATAATGCAGTCCGAATCGCCACCTTTAAAAATCCTTCGGGATCTCGGGCTAGAGGAAGACCTCCAACTAGATGGCTGGATGACACTGCTAAAGATCTAAAAGTATTAACGATAAGCAACTGGAAAAAATGGCCCTGGACAAGAGGCGTTGGTGGCTACGTGTGGTTGAGGAAGCCAAGGCCTGTAAAGGGCTGTCGTGCTGAAGAAGAAGAAGTTCATTGTATCAAATCAGTAATTCAAATATTTGATCTATTTCTTGTTTTAGTGTTAGCAAAGAAGCTTAGAAATTCACTGATTTACCCAGAGACTTTGTAATTTAGTTTATGCATGCAGGAAGGGCTGATTTTAAGAACTAACTCTTTTATTAATGGGATGATAAAATCTGCAAATAAAAAACTAAGGTGGCATTAAAAATGCTTATTAGGAGGATAGTGAATCGAAGCTTATTTGTTTTCTTTTTTTCTATGTATTTTACTGTATTTTAAGTGAAAAAATATAAACATATATAATACTTTATTAAGCACAATTAAATCACAATTCACAATATGTTCAAGTCACAAATTTTTGATAGTTGTAATTCGGTTTAAAAATGAAATGCTTGATAAGAGCATTTTTAATACTGTTCAGATACTTTAATGATAACAATTATCATAATGTGAGAAAAAAGACAAATATCATAGAGGCAATATAAAATGTAATATTTACATCTTTATAAAAGAAAACACTTCTCAGGGGTTAAAAAAATCATGAAATAAAGGTGCATGTATAAAAAATAATGGAAAAGAGGCTATCAGGAAGAGAAGATACATCTAAACATATACGCATGTATTCTTACACATAAAATAAGTCCTACATTAAAACTTACAACATTTGACATTTAGATATACCCGATTCTGATAATTGTAGTAAAGCCCAAAATTTTTCCATTTATGTAAAGAGTTGTAGAGTATTTATGATAAAATTGATTTGATAAACAGAACTGCTAACTACTACGCTTTTTGCAAAATATCTCATAAAAGGGTAGACAATCAAAAACTAAAGTTTCAGAATTTGTGTTAATTTTACCATCATTTTAAAGTTCTCACAACGAAAGAAATTGAAATTTACGTAACAAAAAATTACACATTACGACACCATATTTGCATAGCAAAGAATTACACATTACGACACCATATTTGCAACCATTAGAAGAAATTTTTTCCACAAAACGTAGAAAATTGGATGCCCTAGATATATATCAGTATTGGCAACAATTTTAGTTTAAATTTATCGCAGTCACTGAATTTCAGATCAAAATACGTATTTATTGTTTCCTATTAATGCATTATGGAAATCAAGTGGACGAAATAGACAATTTTTCATAACTTTTGAAATCAGTCTGAGGAATGTTAAATTTTGATGGATTAACTTGTTATCGTCTAGCCTCATTGTTAGACAACGTCCTTTTTTCATACGGGTCAAATCTGGTGACACGAAGGTTTTAATTATTGGCTTTTATCTGGGAAAATCAAAAAGAATATAACATATATTATTGTTAAAAAATATTCATATTGATCGGGATCATGATAGCAAGCAAGAATCGTATTGGAATAAATTCTAAATGTTCTTGCAGGAATAATATATAGGGTTTGGAAAAAAATATGGAAACACTTCGATACTAACTCTATGTTATCAGTTTTTCTTTTAGCAGCAAATGTTTAAAGATTTTACATGGCAAAACTGTTGGCATAATTTGAAGGATCATACTTGAAGCTTTTAGACATGGTGTTCTTTTTAACCACGCAAAGTTCTTATCCATGAGAATGAGCGTAGGAAGTTAAAATCGTTTTTCCTTTTTCAATACCACTTAAAAAACATTTTAATATAACCAAATATATAAAGCAGTAAAAACATTCGATTACAAGAAGGGTCCACATGATGGAATCTCGATTACAATTTCAACATCATGCTTATGCATAGCCTTTTCACCTGCATCCTAATGTTAACGACTTACTTCATATGCCCTCACCATTACGACGCCGAGTTTCGAGCTCGCTTTATATATATATATATGTATATTTTTTTTAAAATCAGACTTCGTTTTATTTTACTTTTTAATTTTTTTTTTATAACCGCCGTTGAACAGCCGACCCAATTTTATGGGTTTACGACTACTAATTTTCAACTCCGTAGCCTTGTAATTTTGAACCTAATCCAGAAGATAGGGGAACTCCTGGATCGCGTATTGGGAGAAATTTGCCTTCGTGGAGGGCTTTTTTGATGGAGCTAACCCGCATTTGCGTTGCATGGAGAGGAAGACCACGAAAACCTTCCACGGTTAGCCTGACGGCAAGGGGACTCTAACCCATGATCCGTCTACCACTAATGATATTTCACACCAGCACTGTGGTCAGTGCAAGCCGGATGCGGAATTCGTATCGATTGGGATTCGAACTNAGAAATTTGCCTTCGTGGAGGACTTTTTTTGATGGAGCTAGCCCGCTTTTGCGTTACATGGAGAGGAAGACCATGAAAACCTTCCACGGTTAGCCTGACGGCAAGGGGACTCTAACCCATGATCCGTCTACCACTAAGGGTATTTCACACCGGCACTGTGGTCAGTGCAAGCCGGATGCAGAATTCGTATCGACTGGGATTCGAACCCGGTTTGCCTCATTGGAAGGTGAACGCTCTATCCCTTGAGCCATTGCGGCTCTTCGTTTTATTTTATCGTCATTAACCATATGTATAGCCCACTTTGTTAATTTTTTCAACATTTTTGATTTTTGTTTAATTTTTATTACATCCTTATCGCCGACTTTTACTATGTATATAGTTCGTTGTTTGTTTATTTATATGTGCTCAGATTTTTACTCATACCTTAACTGCTTTATTTTCTCATTATTATCCTCGGCCCTCTGGATGCGCATACTTACGACTATCGTGGAGTGGTCAATTGACCTCTACGATCACGCTTGTGCACTCTCCTCCTTATTCCTTTTTTCTTCTCTCTCACATATCTTCATTTAAATTAGGCATTCAAAATTTCGCCAATCATCACCCATCGTCTCTTTTTTCCGACGAATCGATTTATTGCCGACTTCGGCGGCTGACACAGAGCTCATGCAATCTTCGTGAATCTATTATAAATATTGCAATCCTGTAGAACAATTTTAAAATTGCTGGTATAAAAATTACAAAGAAGTTATTTATTAATTTTCCCTACCATTTTGATCAATCCAAATTTTGCTTGTCGAATTTTGCTGGAAGTTTCAAACATTATCTCTCAAAGAGAGCTAAGAGTTAAAATACTTGCTGTCAAACGAAAGATTGCTTACAAAGAGTTCGCATAGAAGTGCATCCATATCTTTGTTCAATCCTTATCTGTTGATATGCAATACCAATGCGCGGCATGCCTACAAACCTCATAAACTAAAAATTTTAAGACAGGTTAATAATTCATAGCATTACGCCGAGTTATCATATCATGTTTTTTTTAAACTTAAGAAACTTTTAAAGCTGGTGTTCGCAGTTGCCATACAGGCTCCGCAAATGACCTGGCTTCGATTGACGAACATTCATAAGAATGCAGTTTTAGAAGAATGATTTTTCGGCATGTGGTGCCACTGCATTGCGTTTCTATTTGTATATTAATTCTTATAAGATTCTTGCTTGTGTCATGCTCCTCACTCACAAATAGATTACTCTGCGAAACAAAATTTTCTTTTGTTTTCTGTTGCATGAGATCATGGAACGGAGCATAGATCATTTCACGCCGTAGATTTCAAATCTGTAATCAGTTTCCCTCAACAGCTTTTACGTAATTTACTATATATTCCTAACCAGGATTTTTTTTAACAATTCCCTCTGGTTAATGGTAATTATTCCCATTTCTCTGCTACGTAGGGAATGGTAGGAAGAAGGGGATAATACATTTTAATTTATGATGCTTTACTTTAAGGTTATATGATTTTTCTCTTGAGTGTTATTTTCAAAATGGTAAACAAGTGAATATCTGTGAACCTATATGCTCTTTATAAACTTGTACATTGAGACAAAATGAACTAAACTAAAAATATTATTTTGAAACAAATCTGTACCTTTCAGAATGACACAAATTTCAGATTTGATATTCCCACTCCCGAATTAGGTAATAGAGTCAATCCTGAATTGGAAATTATGTGATTGCGTTTTAATTATTTATATCAATTAGGTGGTAATTTAAATAATAAAATTACCGCTAAACTGAAATATTAATGTAATTTCCTTTGTTTTATATTGTCACTTTTTACATCATTGTAGCATAAATAGTCGGATATTAAAAGGGTAATTTCCTTTGAAGCAATGTAACTAGCATACCCATTTTAATTTTACTTTCATCTTACGTGTATTTTACCTGACTGATTTATTCCCTCACCTATTTCTTTGCCTGATGAAAAATTGCTGATCTAAAATTATAGTTCATCAGGACACTGTTTAAAATGATGTTATGTTGCTGTTGCTTTTCGGTTTCCTTAAAGAGCTGCCGTAACTGTTAACCACACTTGGTTTGCGTTTTCGCTGACTAGTGTTCGGAGCGCACAGGTGTCCATTTGTGTGGAAGCAAGCCAACTCATCGTTACTTTTTCGAATAATTTTACTTCTTCTAATAGAACTCATTACGGAGTGGTCCATTTTGGAAGTAGTGCTGTGGTTGATAAAAGAGGTAGATTTCGACCGTGCTGCCTTCCTGGGTGTTCTAAGATGGAAGGCGCCGTAGATCAGAGGATTGAGCAGAGCGGTGGAGCTACCAAAGAAAAAAATGGCAGATTGCAAGTCTTGGCTGAGCTGCTCATCTGGATCCAGAAACATGAAAATGATCATCATGACGTAGTATGGTGTCCAACACACAACGAATGTGAGAACGATGACGACTGTGATCATAAGAGATTTTACCTTTGCCTTCTGGAGTATTTTGTGACGAGCGTCGCCTGAAGCAGTGCGTGACACACGTTCAGAGAACATGTTTTGGCGGCCTGAAATACAAAATGATAAATTAGTGCCTCATATTTACCCACATTCGGATGTGCCTGGTCAAGTACTGTTTGTCTAAGATAGGTACTCTGCCAGACATTCGTCTGGAGCTGTGGCGGTGACTATGGTAACGAGGTATGATTATTTTAATTAGGGGTGCGGGGTCCCTCTGTAGGACTGGTTTCGGCGAGAGAAAAGGAGACCTCTTCATCTAAGCTACCCTCCCTAAAATGCCCTCTTCTTGTTTTCATAGCACCAGACTGCCGAAGACTTAGTGGCAGTCACAGTACCTATCTTAGACAAACAGTATTCATATCTGCCAAGAAATACAGAGTAATTCATAATTTTCTCCTATATTAAATCAAGAACTATTGTAAGAAAGTTAAATGAATTCAGCAAAAACAAACTGCATACTGAATTCCGAAACAGTCCCAGGTTCATTTATAGCCTTTACAGTAGTTATTCGTATTAACCCCTTTACCACATGGCATATATCTATGTGATAGTCTAGTTCCTGGCAGAATTTACTCAATATTGTACAATCGTGTATATCTATGTGTATTAGCAGTATGTGTTATTTAACACACCTCTACTAAAACTCATGGCAAAAGGGGGTTTAGAAAGTACCCTTACAAAAATGTAAGGATTTTTGAGGTTTATTTGAAGTTGTTTTGATGTGTTAAGGTTGGTTTGAGGTTTATTTGAAGTTGACTTCAAAAACAACGTTACGAAATCAACATCCTTCAGGACACATTCATCAGGACCTTTCTCTTCAGGACACATTCCTTTTTACGATGGTAAAAGTGATGTTTCAAAATACAGAATAATTATCCTGAGATAAAAAATAAAATTATTCTATATAATGTATCTATATCTCTAAAAAATAAAAATGCTATGGAAAATGAGATTGAGATAAAAGAAAGAAAGCAGAAAGCAAACTTACCGACATGGAGAAAAAGTTAAAAAGTTTAAATTAACCAAAATTCGCTACGAAGAAAATAATATAAAACAGTGCTTATAGTTTAAGTCATATAAAATAATCTTTAAAAATATTTTTGGTCGAAAAAATATGAAGCAAATTGCATTTCAGTGCTGCCATCTATGAAGTAAACACTTTGATAAAAATATTTTTTGAAATTTCTGTAACAAAACGTTTAATAGGAAGAAACATTAATAAAATAATATTAAAATTGGCTAAAAAATTAAAAAAAACCCTTCAGATAGGTAATCGTCGTCGAGTTTAAATCACAGACGCAAACTAGGAATAAACCATTTTATTGGTTTTCCTTCTCTCATTAGGTAACCGTTTATAAGTCAGAGCCTGCATACATGGATAAAAACTTTAGAAGACTTTATCCTTCATTCATACATTCTTCCATAACAGTAAAGTCTACAAGTATTACTTGTATTCATGAGGGGTGGCTGTTCGTAAGTCAGAGCCCATTCCATATTTATAGAAATAAACTTATATTGTAGTACTAGTTAGGCAACAATTTATTTAGAAGTTTACTTAAGGAATTAATTATTGCAGTATAGAGCGTCATGCAGCCAAACTATTCCGTCCATTTGGCTTTAGGAATTGCTTATAATAGTTAGTTACTACTTTAAAAATGAAACAAAACTAATATTCTAAAATCAGAAGGAAGAGATACTAAGTAACACACACACGCACGCACGCTCGCACGCACGCACACACAAATTTTTTTTTCACTGTACCATTTCACAGGTTTGCCAACTATTACGTTTTATAATTATTATAATTTGTAATTACGCTATATTAATAATAATAACTAAAGAAATAGCATATTTAAATATTTACTAATTATTCTCAAAGTAAATTTGTACTCTGACAATTGAAAAATTCGTGTCCATGAGTTTAGTGTGAGGCAATAATATGTTTTGTGGCCAAAATTCACAAATGCACATAAAAAAAAATAATAATAAGAGAGAGAAAAGTTTCTCTCTCTCCCTTGTTTTCAATTTTCTACAAAATAAAGTAGCAAAATGTAGCAAAAATACATATTATAAATCTTAAATTTTCTTGGTACTTTTTTTTAAATCCGCTAAAACATAAAGAAGCTATTTACTTAACTTAATCAAATATTTACTATATTTCTCTTTACATTTTTTATTCTTTGCATGGATTTTTACTATCTCAAAATGAAACTTTTGTAAAGTCACTAAAAAAACTTTCAAGTTTTCTTGATTCGATATGCTGCTAATTTTGAAAACAGTTGCTACCTTTTTAACTCATGGCTATGCAACGGTGTTTTATAAAAGTAACGTGTGGCAGTGAAAATGGAAAAATCGAAGTAGTCTTGTTTGTTGCACAGTCTTGTCAAATTTGAATACTGATTAAAACAAATGAATCACAAAACTAACATAAAAGAGTCACATGTGAGGAAGGAGAAATGCACTAAAAAGGCACTGGAAAAGAAGAACTGGTTAGTAAAGTTCTGATAAAAATCATAACATTAGCTATGTAAATTTAAAGACTGATTCGATGTGATCTAACATTTTCGAAATAAAAAAAATTGCAAAAGTTAGAAAGTACTTATATTTTAAAAAATAATTTGTCGAAAAAATATTATTTGTACAATATGAGATCCGTAGGTAGAGAGAGAAATCAAAATCGATGCCTACATGGAACAGAATAGCTAGGGTTCGTAAAGGGCTGTAGAGATATAGAAGGAGAAGAAATCCCTAAACAATAAGTGTACTTATCGATATTAAAATTTTTTTTAGAGCTGCTGAAGAGTGAGTCTGTCAAATAGCATGAAGTGAGAACAGTTCCTATGCGTAAACTTTAAATTAATCCTTATGCATTTACTAAATTTTTGAAAAATAAACCTAATATCTTTCAAATACTAACATTTCTTTCAATGTTTAATTAAATTAAATTTTGATGCATCATCCTGAATTTTACAAGCAGTTAAATCCATATAATTATTAACAAGGTAATATTTCCTGGTGGTTCCTTTTGGTGTTTTTTTCTTCCTCTTTTTTTTAAAAATTTTTACATTTTTTTTGTTTCTTCCAACCAACAAATGAGGGACCCCATACACAATTATTTAACAAAAAACTGCATTGACTTAGATGTTAACACGCCGTATCCTCCTTCCATGTGGGCAGCTGACTCTTCTGATCTGTGGCGAACAACTAATTCTTGTGAGAGTTTTCACAGCAGGTTCAGTTCATTTTTGGAGCAACAAACCCTAACATCTTTCTTTTTGTCAAAAATCTTAATTTAATACAAAGTGATACCTACATTAGAATAAACACTGCCGAGGCTAGTGAACCTCGAAAAATAACAAAAAAAGAACTATTTATTTATGAAAAAATTGCCGAGTTTAAAAACGGAAAAATAAGATATTTTGCCTTTTTAAATGTAGTGTCATATAAAACAATTTAAAGAAAAATTTGAACAAAAATAGTTAAAATATATTAAAGTCAAAAAATAAGGTTCCATTGGTTCTACTTGAGTTGAAGCATTTGCTTTGAAAACAAAAAAGATAAAGTTTACACAATTTTTTAATACCATTCTGTATTTTGTAATTTTTTATATTTTTTAAAATATTATTTATTCGTCTTTTTTTTTCTCTAAAAAGTAAGAATAGTTATATAAAAAGAACAACTTTGTCAAAATACGCAGGAATACAAATATGTAGACATGTTTGTTTTTACATTTTTAGTAGTATTTGTATATATTCTCGTATAAATATTTTTGTTTTTACATGTCTGTATTTATTTTGTATACATTTTTGTAATCTCTTATTATCTCTCTTTTTTTCTTAATAAATGTTATTTGGATATTATTTAGTATTCATTTTCAAAATTATCAAAGCACTATAGTCATTAGTTTTCAGAATCAGAATTTTCATCAAAAATACTTAACTGTTATTAAATACAGTTATTAAATAACTTATTAAATAACTGTTATTAAATACAACCAGCGGGTGACCGAGCTCCACTCGGAGAAAACAGGTATCGAAGCTAACTCGAAGATTTAAATTTTCAATTGTGATTTATCAAAACAATACATGCCATAAGAAAATTTGTGAAACCATTGGTGAAAAGATAACCGGTTAAAGTGCACCATTGTAAACTATCTAAACAAAGTNGGTGTCCATTTGTGTGGAAGCAAGCCAACTCATCGTTACTTTTTCGAATAATTTTACTTCTTCTAATAGAACTCATTACGGAGTGGTCCATTTTGGAAGTAGTGCTGTGGTTGATAAAAGAGGTAGATTTCGACCGTGCTGCCTTCCTGGGTGTTCTAAGATGGAAGGCGCCGTAGATCAGAGGATTGAGCAGAGCGGTGGAGCTACCAAAGAAAAAAATGGCAGATTGCAAGTCTTGGCTGAGCTGCTCATCTGGATCCAGAAACATGAAAATGATCATCATGACGTAGTATGGCGTCCAACACACAACGAATGTGAGAACGATGACGACTGTGATCATAAGAGATTTTACTTTTGCCTTCTGGAGTATTTTGTGACGAGCGTCGCCTGAAGCAGTGCGTGACACACGTTCAGAGAACATGTTTTGGCGGCCTGAAATACAAAATGATAAATTAGTGTCTCATATTTACCCACATTCGGATGTGCCTGGTCAAGTACTGTTTTTCTAAGATAGGTACTCTGCCAGACATTCATCTGGAGCTGACTATGGTAACGGGGTATGATTATTTTAAGTAGGGGTGCGAGGTTCCTCTTTAGGACTGGTTTCGGCGAGAGAAAGGAGACCTCTTCATCTAAGCTACCCTCCCTAAAATGCCCTCTTCTTGTTTCCATAGCACCAGACTGCCGCACACTTAGTGGCTGTCATAGTACCTATCTTAGACAAACAGTATTCATATCTGCCAAGAAATACAGAGTCATTCATAATTTTCTCCCATATTAAATCAAGACTATTGTAAGAAAGTTTGATGAATTCATCAAAATCAAACTACGTACTGAACTCCGAAACAGTTTCAGGTTCATTTATAGCCTTTACAGTATTTATTCGTATTAACCCTTTGTCACATGGCATATATCTATGCAATAGTCTAGTTCCTGCCGGAATTTATTCAATATTGTATAATCATGTATATCTATGTGTATTAGCAGTGTGTGTTATTTAGAACACCTCTACTAAAACGCATGGCAAAGGGGAGGTTTAGAAAGTACCCTTACAAAAATATAAGGATTTTTTAGGTTTATTTGAAGTTGTTTTGAGGTGTTAAGGTTAGTTTGACGTTTATTTGAAGTTGACTTCAAAAACAACGTTACAAAATCAGCATCCTTCAGGACACATTCATCAGGACCTTTCTCTTCAGGGCACATTCCTTTTTACGATGGTAAAAGTGATGTTTCAAAATACAGAATAAATATCCTAAGATAAAAATAAAATTATTCCATATAATGTATCTATGTCTCTAAAAAATAAAAATGCAATGGAAAATGAGTTTGAGATAAAAGAAAGAAAGCAGAAATCATCCGACATGGTGAAAAAAGTTAAAAGGTTTAAGTTAACAGAAATTCGCTAATATAAAACAGTGCTTATAGTTTAAATCATATAAAATAATTTTTAAAAATATTTTTGGTCAAAAAAATATGAAGCAAATTGCGTTTCAGTGCTGCCATCTATGAAGTAAACACTTTAGTAAAAATATTTCTTGAAATTTCTGTAACAAAACGTTTAAAAGGAAGAAAAATTAATAGATAAAATATAAAATTAGTTAAAAAATTAAAATTAAATGGAATTTTTTTTTTCAGATAGGTAATCGTCGTAGAGTTTAAATCACAGACGCAAACTAAGAATAAACCATTTTATTGGTTTTCCTTCTCTCATTAGGTGACCGTTTATAAGTCAGAGCGACAACAAGTTGAAGCGGCAACTTTTCTATCGAAGTTTTACTTTATATTATTTTATAACCATCGTTGAACATCAGACCCAGTTTTTGGGTTTACGATAATTTGCATTCCTGTTACGATATTGTAAAACATTTTGGTGTATAATTGACACCATTTTTGGTGTTGAAGTAAACTAAATACATTTCAGTTTTAAATACAGAACTGTAGCTATCGGACAAACGATTATATAAAATCGACAAAATAACGATTGTTAGAAGAAATTAGTGGCAAAAAATGTATTTGTTTCTTAAATGAAATGTTTTTGTAATGAAGCCATGAATTGATTCTTATCTACATGAAAATATGTGTTGTCAGTAAATAAACAAACAAACAAATGAATAAATAAATAAATAAAACTATAACAGAGAAAAAGTAAATAAAAAAAATGTGGCTAAATGCACTATAAAAAATTTATTATACCTTAACACCAAAAATGGTTAGTTAATTATACCCAGAATTTTTTTTTCCACCAGTGTAGTTTGCCAACTACACTGGTGGACAAATTTAAGAGATGGAAAGCATTTTCGCACATTCATTAGCACATGTAAGACACTCTCACATGTGAACTCCATGTGTTTGACAATGGTTCCGTGACTGCACAGAGGTACAGGCAGGAGGTCCTAGAGCCCTATGTGTGTCTTTTCAGGGGCGCTGTTGGCCCTGAGTTCACTTTTATGGACGACAATGCGCGACCACATAGGACTCTCATGGTTGATGAGTATCTGGAAAGCGAGGATATTCAACGAATGGATTGGCCAGCCAAATCTCCTGATCTGAATCCTATTGAACATGCTTGGGATGCTCTTGGGAGAGCTATTGCGATGCGCCAACCTTCCCCCAGAATCATTCTGGAGTTAAAAATTTAAATTCCTGGTGGAAGAATGGGAGGGTCTTCCACAAGTCCTCCTTAACTCCCTTATTAACGGCAAGCATACTCGCTGTGCATGCTGTCTGTCTGCCAGGGGTGACCATACGCCATACTAGAGGCAACACACACTGTACAAGCCTCACTTTTATTGTCATCTTTTATCCTTAAATTCGGAGTACATTGGATTTATTGGCTATAGGTCTTGCCAGTGAATGGTACTTTTGTTTTGCATACTTTATTATCATGGAATAAGCTATATCCCTACCAAATTTCATTTATTTAAAATCAGTATTTTTTGAGATATTTGGGAAAATTTCTTCCATCTCTTAATTTTGTCCACCAGTGTACTACGCTTTTCATAAAATATTTCATAGAGTGGTAGACATTTAAAAACCAGAGTTTTTGTTAATTTTGCAAATATTTAAAAAGCTTCACCACGAAAGAGCTGGAACAAAGTGGAGTTGCAAATAAACTTAAAAGTTACTTATATTTCGTGGTGTCGAAAATAAGTTTAAATGAATAAAAATTAATACATTACATGGGTGAAAGCGAGACGGGAAAGGAGAATAGCTAGTAGCAAAACTATTTCAGCTTAAACTTGTTTTCGGAAGGAGTAACTCTATTCTCTTTTTCAAACTATTTAACAACATCTACTTTTTCTCATCATCATCATCGAAATCTATCTCCGCGCCTGAGGCTGATAGCTGCCCTTTTCCCATCCATCTTGAAATTTTAACTTTAAGGCGGATCTTTCTGGTTATTGGAATGCAAATTTGAGTGAAAAGAAAATTAAATTAGTTGTATTTTAGATAAAGTTGCATCTCCAAAAATAAGCTGCTATTGGCTCAAAGTTTATGTCTTCTCTCAATTTCTTAAAATTAAAAATTTCATTAACGCATGCGGCGTCACACTCTCGTAAAAAAGTCCCTTTGCAAAAAATTCTCCGTAGCTACAGAAGTGTAATGTTTCTCGAAAAAAAAAATGCTAGAATGAAATGCCTTTCTTACCAGTTTTTTTTTCTTTTCAGTCTTCGTTTATACAGGCTTTTAGCTCTGATACATTACAACATAAACTTAGCTACCACTAGTATAAATTTTCACAAAACGCCTGGAAAGTTGGCAGCCCTGACTTTACCGTCAAAATTTTCAATATGGATAGGTTAATGGTCGCATGCTCCTAGATAAATGATGATCATCATCATCATCAAAATATATCTGGGCGCCTGGGGCCGTTAGCGGCCTTTTTCCCATTCGTCTTGTATTTAATCTTTAAGGTGGTTCTTTCTGGTAATTGGAATGCAATTGGAATAAAAGGAAATTAAATATTTTGTATTTTAGTCAAAATTACGTCACTACAAAAATGTGCTGCCATCGGCCTGAGGTTTATGTCTTCTCTTAAGTTTTCAAAAGTAAAAATTTCATTGAATCCTGCGGTGTCACAATATATGGTCTTTTCAAAACATCTGAAATTTAGCTTTGCAATATGATGATCTAAAAAATCTATGTTGAGGTCGCAATGTATGTTTTTATTGCGTATAAACTATCTTGCTTTTGTTATTTTCCTGAGGATTTTATTCTGGCATATTTTGAGTTTTTTAAGGAGTGATGTGGAGATGTTGCACCAAGCTGGAGATGCATAAGTTAGGATGGGACGGATCATCGAGATGTAAAGTAAACGTTTAAGTCTGAGTTCCATTTTAGGGTTCTGAAGAAGGCTTTGTAATCTGTGGCAGGCTGCTTGTGCTTTGTTGTGATCTTTCCAATTAAATTTGCTGTTTATGACCAGACCAAGATATTTCGCACTTATGACTATGGGTATAGTTTCGTTAAAGAGAACAACTTGATTTTTTGGGAGGATAGTTTTTCTTTTATGTTGAATGATTAGTAGTTTCGATTTTTGGCCGTTGACTTTAAACTTCCAGTCTAGACACCAGGTTTCTATTTCCGTAAGTTTTCTTGGAGTTTCCGTTGGGCAATGTTGGGATTTTTGGACTTCACGACAATTCCTCTGTCATCTGCGAAAAGTGCTGTGATGCTATTAAAGTCTTGTCTGTCGATGGTCCCAGATAAATGATAATAATGTTGATAGTAATATATTTGAAATTTTATTTCCAAAGTGGGAGCTAATATTAAAAAAAAATCTCAACTTCTGTGCATCAAAATTAACAACTATAAATTTTTTTTCTAAGTGGTACACGATTTGTAGGGTGTGTCAAAAATTCTATTAATTTTCTGTCGGTTTCTACCAAAATTTAAAATTTTATAGAAAAGTAGCAATCTATTTCCTTTATTTATTACTAGCCACCTAAGGCGGCCAGCTGTCCGCCACGCTAAAGGTTTTCACAAATAAAGTTTTTTAAAACATAGGAGGAAATCCTAAGATTAGTGGACAATTAAAGTGTTCCTGTCCTGCAATTTTGTCTTAAATTCCTATTTTATATATTATATAGCTACAACGCCTAAGAAAAAAAAACTAAAATGCTAAATACATGAAAAGAACACGAAAACAAATTAATTTTTTATGGTATCAATTTCTATTTCTATATAATTTTTTATGGTATCAACTTCTATTTCTATATCGCTACAAAAATTATCGTCTTGGCTTAAGAAAACAAATAGAGCGTGGAAAGAAGAAGAAAAACTTATTATAACAATTATGAACAGGGACAAATATATCAAAGCGAAGCGTTCTATTTACGTATCGAATATGTTGCCACATTTTTAATACAAAAGTTAAACTTTTCTTCACTTTGATAAATGTAAACTAAGGCGAACCTTACAACTAAATTATAAATTCCTTCGTATATTATTGGTTTAAGTTGTTGAAAATTAATAATTTCAGTTGTAAGGTTCGCATTAGCATACATTTATAAGAGTGGAGAAAAGTATATGCCTTTTTTAATAGTTTTTTGAATATGGCTCTTTGAAGACGAAAAAGCAAAAATTTTCTTACAAAATGACTGATAACTAAAAGAATAATTCAAATTTTTGAAAAAGAAAAAAAAAATACTTCTTCATTATGTCAAAACACAATTATGTGCCGAGTTTCGTGCCTGGGCGAGGCTTCTGGGGCGATATATTGTGATTACAGACAGACAGACAGACAAACAGACACACACACAGCCGCGTTTATTATTATGTATAGATAATAAATCTTCAATCTAATAACATAAATTAAAGTAAATAATAACGTGTATGAAGTAATGTATGAATCTGTTTATCAATATATAAGGGTATTTATCATTGTGACACAAACTATAAACACAATACCACATTTTTGCAATACTTACTCACAAAAGGTGGTGCATGCTGAAACTTACCAGAATCTGAAAATTAAAGAAGTTTTTAAAAAATGTGTGAAAAAGTGTTTTGAATTTATTTTATTTAAATAATTTGTTTTAATCCTTTGGTCCAGGTTTGGAATTTTAATGCACTCAAAATATTAATTAATTAAAAAAATACTTTAACTCTTATAAAATTTGTACTTTGCTTACAATAATCTATATTCAAAGTACTATATTATTAGACTATATAATCTATCGTGATATATAATCAAGCTACTATATAGTACTATATAAGAAAACTACTATTTACGCAAAGTTTTGCTTTCTATTTTTTGCTCTTTTTCTTGAAAAAAATATTTTTATAAGCTTTTGCTTTGTTCAAAAGGTACCTGTAACCTTCCAGTAATACAATCCAGTAAGGAAGTGATAGGTTGAAAAAGAACATTTTTTAAAATTTATTTAAAATTAAAAATAACAATGGTGTCCACCTTCGCATTCTCTTTATTATGCTTGATTGTCTCTATCGGCCTCGCTTTTGTGGTTTCTAATTAATTAATTTTAAACCATTGATTTTAAACAATATGAAATAAATTAAGTTATTTTTGTGAAATTATTTGTAATGTTAATTAACTGTCTCTTACAAATTAACCATATAATCGAAAAATAAGTTTAAAGCTTGATCTTTGAATGTTGCATATTAGATATTATTAACCTTGATGATTATGTGAGTGTAAATAATTGAATAGATTAAAATCCCTCATTTAAAAACTTTTCCACTCTCCACTGTATTTAAACTGGTTGAGAAATAACAACTAAGGTCAGCTCAATTCGATTTATTTTGCCAGCATATAATCCTTTACAACCAGATTTAATTTGAAAATACTTATTTCTTTCGCATAGAAGCGCACAAAAAGTAAAAAGCGTTTAAAGTTATTTCATTATGAAGATTAACCCTTTCCGGTGCAATGTAGCCAATCTGGAAGCACTAATTCAACAAATGTCACAAACCGCTGGAGATGTAAAATTAATTGCTTTTAAGCGTTCACGAATTTTGAAGAAGCACTATTCTATAAACAAAAAAGAGTTACAGATGGCCGCTTCACTTAGACTGTACTGCCAAAGATCCCACTTGCTCCTATCCTACCTGACTAAAATTGTACAATCGAAATTTGCTGTTACAGAAAGGGTTAATTCAAGAAAAAAGAGATGACCCATGCCCATTAGAATATTTTAATAATATAAAAATCTATTTTTATGTTTGTGATGAACTTTATGAATATTGAAAAAGCTAAAAGAAAAAAAAACATGCTTTATGGTACATATTTATATATTAACCACTTTTTACCCGTTTGGTTGATACCTAACAGCACAGTTATTATTAAATTTTATATATTATCCTTAATTCAAAATATTTGCAATTCATTAATTTATTTTAAGTGCAAATCCAAAGGTTTTTTTTAAGGTATAAAAAGTCAGTTTTTCTTATATATAAACAAATTTACTGCACAGTAAGTGAAAAAAAAAGTAATTTTATAAGGAAATCTTGATAAAAAAATTATTTAAATGATTGTAAAATTTTGAAAAACAAACACTCTGGTATATTAATTAATTGTTCATTTAAAAAACAATGCAAGAAAATTTGATTTGAACAATGACTCATTTTTTAAAAAATTAAAACCTATTTCTTGCTTAATTGAGTAATTTATGAGCGTTTAAGAACCCTGAAGATGGGACTAACTCATTACACAAACATACGATGAGCCTCAATAAATGCTGTAATTGCTTTTCTGAAACATACATTCTTCCCTTGGGGGGTATTTAGGAATGAATTTTCACTCAAGTGACGATTCTGATGGATTATTATCGGGAATTGTTCCATGGAGCAGCAAGTGGACAAATTACTCATGTAAGTTTTAATAGTTTTGAGGTTTATGCACAAATCATGGTTGCTACGGTCTGAAAAGCATCTGAAAGTGGAGACAAGAATTTCAAGAGAATGTTCGAAATTCTTTAGATTCACATCTGTCAACGACTTTTTTTTTTTTTTTTAAGAGGATTTTCTTAAGTGATAAGAAAATGAACACTATATTAAACTTTTAGGCAGGCAGAATTTATTCTTTTTATTTTTCCAGAGTAAGATTAATCGATGTGTTTTAGTATAGGTACGATTGATATGAGTATAAATACACATGCAAGTTTTTCTAAAAATCATAAATATGCATGTATTTCAATTGTATGAAGTGAAGGTCAAACTCCTTTTAACACGTTGAATGACACGCTAATTTTACATAGCTTACCCGGCTGACCAAACTGCAAACAACTACAAATTAAATTTGCAAATATTAGACAGATTTTGCTAGTTTTTTAAAAGGTTTAGCATGCAATCCGCATACCTGCCAACTTTTACACATTTGGCGTAAAATTATATTTCTATATTTAAAATGGTAGCAAAATGTATACTTTCTATATGTTTCTTGCATTTATAAACTTAATTTAAAATATTTTTAATCCACCACTATTTTTAAAAAAATTAAGCATACATATACATATGTAATACTAACTTTGTAGTCTGCTTAAGTATGCTCGAAATACAAAAAACTTTTTGGCCTGAAATTGTAATTTAAATTTCATTTTACTACCACTGGGGAAAATCATCCCTGAAAGGATTAGAAGTTGGCAGGTATGCATACGTGATAAAAAGTGGTGAATTATATAAGCCTACGAATTGTTTAGAAATAGTGGTGGATAAAAATCTACTAAATTGAATTTATTAAACCAAGAATCACAATTAATAAACTACCACTTGAAAATATTTATTCGCTGTCCGGAGCAAGTTGGCATCTCTGTGTATATAAATAAAACTATTTTTGTATGTTCTATATTGCATTAATTTCTTCAAACCATTTTAGTAACGATAATAATATAAAAAAAATTGAAAATTTACTCGAATTCTGTGTTTCTGATAATCTTGGCTTCGCCGGTTGCTGTTGACCCCCATGGCATTCAACGTGTTAACGCTGTTTTTCGAAGCTCTGTCGCCAAGGAAAATTAAAAAAGTCATAGTTTAAGTGCATTACACTTGAAGCAATGCGATGATTTTAAACTATATATATATAATCTTGCCGTGAAGAATAATCTGGGCTTTGGAACAGGAAAATAACTTAAATATTTTAAAAGATTATTAAATATTTAAAGTTATTAACTTTTTTTAAAAAAAATTCCAATTTGACTGCATTTTTCCCCTAGAAAAAAATTATCAAAATTACTGCCGTATTCTCGGTTTTTGCAAATTTTTAGGAGCCCAGGTACTGCAGCATTGGAGTAAGTTTTTAAACATTCAAAACTTAGATCACAAACGCTTTTCATTTTCACAAAACTGAGGCTTTTCTCCATATTGACGTTTTGCGCCATTTTCAAAATAAGCGTAGTCAGCGCTGACTTTAGATAGGCTAAACTTGACCTGACAGTTATGAGTAACAGTTGCAAACTCACAGTGTGTATAAAAATAGCGTATTATTCACAAAAAAGCATCATTTCGTATTACGACGGAGCCTTCGAAAAACCACCTTAACCCATCAATGCCCGGTCACAAAAAGTAGTCTTTAAATATAACTTTAATTTTATTATGATGTGGCAGCTATAATGAAAATGTCAATGAATAAAATCAAATCATTATTTACATTTGCCAATTGTAGACTTATCAAAGCACTTAAGAAAAAAAATTACACAGTGATCGTATGCACCTGAGAAAACTTAAAAAGTGCCGTCACTTCTTTCATAAGAAAGCTGAGCATTTCGTAGGATTAGCCTTCACTTTAGAAATAAAAATAAAAATTAATATGTCTTATATCTATGTACATTTATTTAGAATTATTTCTTTCTTCTACCAGCTTTAAATGTAAAAGATTAAAATTTTTATTTCCTTTCAATATTACTAACACTATTTTAAATTTTTGCACCTGCTTATGAAAATTGGTAACGCACTGCAACAGACTGATCACAGACAAGAAAAATCTAAAAAACTTATAATAAATTTTACAAAAAGTTGCGGGAAATTTTGTTGTTGTTGTTTTCAATGATACTTCGACAAGCTAAGTTCCCCAGCCATTAGTTCTGAGAATTAAGTCAGAAAGGAGAGCCTTTCTTTTGAAATGATAGCACGCTAGGGTAAAAGTGTGACTTAGCTAACCCACGGATAGTTAGCAGCACTATTGTTCGTTCATCAGGAGTTGGCACTTGGCTCCACCTCCTCGGTCGAAGAGTTCATTTAAGGACGGGGAGTATAGAGAGAAACGTCCCCATTCTTAAAATTGAGACAACTCTTACTGCTTGCCAAACGCAAACAGTGGATTCTTTTTCAGTCACTTACTTCTCCTTATCATCTGCTATTATATCGTTCGTTACTCTAACTAATAAAATATATTGCAGCAAAATGTCTCAAAAAGGACATACAATTCACTCAAAAGAAAGAAATGTCATTAAATTTATGAAATATTTAATGATAAAAAATGCACATAAAAATTGCAAAATAAATATTTTTGACATACAATCGCCAACTAGCAACCTTGTTCAGGATTGTTCACATCCTTCTCCCAAAAATAGCGAAATAGTATCGTCGGATACCACGTGATGATGGCGGAGCCAAGTGCCAGCTCCTGGTAAACGAACTATACTCACTCGCGAGGTCATTTCTACAATTTTAGACACAGATCTGAAGAAGAAATTTTTCTCGAAATACCTGCAATACAGAAAAATGAATGCTTACTTGCAATTGTGATAAACGTTGTTATGTATGTAGCGACAAGGATTAAAAGAGGAAGCAAAAACATGAGGACAAGTGTGAGGGTCGTGTAGATTTGTTCCTGCCACAGAGCTGTGTAGAATGCATACGTTACGCACTGGAAGAACTCTTCGACGAATGGACCTTTCATCACGCTGAAGATGAATAACTGAAAAGAGAAAACATTGTCATTGACCTTAAGATTTTGTTGTGGAAACATAATATTTACTTGTGAATTAAAAAGTACTTTATGATAAAGATACGAGGCGCATCCAGAAAGTAAGTTTTCCGAATTTAAAAAAAATAACTCACACTTTCAGGAACTTATTTACTGGTAAACAAGTACAGCAATGCTTCAGCTATTTTTCAACATAGTCACCACTACAATTGAGACAGTTGTCGTATCGTGGGATCAACTTTTTATCATTCTGTCGAAGAACTCTGCCGCCTGTGAATGGAACCAGAGTCTTCAGCTCTTCGTCGTTCTCAAAACGCTCATAGGAGGACAGTAATTTCTTGAGGTTCAAGAGAAAGTAAAAATCACAGGGAGCCAGATCAGGGCTGTAAGGTGTATCTTCAAACAACTCCCAGCCAAATTCCGTCAAAACAACTGCTGTGCGTCGTGACGTATGTGAACGAGCATTGTCATAGAGGAGCACAACACCTACAGTAACGCCTCTTGTTTTGAATGGCACGTCACAATTTCCGCAGTGTTTCACAGTAACGGTAGACGTCTGTCACACGCTGGTTCCATTCACAAGCGGCAAAGTTCTGCGTCAGAGGGATACAAAAGTTGGTTCCACTATACGACAGGTGCCTCAATTCTGGTGGTGGCTATGTTGAAAAACAGCTGAAACATTGCTGTACTTGTTGCCAGTAAATATGTTCCTGAAAGTGTGAGTTATTTTTTTTTAAAATTCGGGAAACTTACTTTCTGGATGCACCTCGTAGTTGGATATTTATGTTCAGACTAATATGATATTTTCTAGTTCCGATTATCCCTTTAGTTTTAAAATATCACAGTAACCTAATTTCAGATAAAAACGTAGACATTTATAATATCAATATATGCTTCTGCACTATAAATTTCAAAAATAGAACGATTGAGTTATTAGTCTTTACTCTTTTTTAAAGAAATATTTATATGAAAATTAACGGAACAAAGGAAAAACGACACAAATTTTGTCCCGTTTTTTATTAGAAAGTGCAAAGCAAAGGTATATACCGGGTTAACAATAACGTTCTTCCACTTTGTGAGATGTTTTCTTCTTGTAGTAGCAAAGTTTATGTTTTAATAATGTATGATTGTTTGTTTAGTAAATTTGATTTAAAGTTATTTCACACACCACTACACATGAAGGATTCAAAAATTCATATATAAAGCTACTATATTCTAGTTCATTCGGGGTGAGGCTTTCCAAATGTTGGCAAAATTTAAAAATTGTAAAATAGAGAGAGAGGGATTTGAACACAAAATCCCAGCTCCTTGTCCAGTATACAAGTCAGTCGGCCTGATATCGCAATTTATTGGAGAAAAAAAGTATTTTCACTATAATTCTTACTTGTACTTATTTTAGAATTCAATTGATTAATCAATTAAAGGTTTTAGATTAATCATCAAGGCTAAGAATTGATTGTTACAATAAATTCTTAGCCTTGGATATCCGGCTGATTATTTTGATCATGGTTAGGTCTTTTCTTACACCATAGAATTATCTTCTCTTGCGTCTTGAGATCATTGGTTTTCAATGTAGGATTCTTAGCAGCCCCATATTTTCATGCATACTTTTTCTATGGCTCGGCCATCCCATGAGTCATGATCTTCTGAAACAAATAAAGTTTTTTGTTGTTGTTTTTGTTTTGTTTAATTAGATGGACAAGGTCAATATTGTTTCTACTACCCCACTGTGAATTTCTTGTTTGAATCAGGTCAAACAATTTTCTTAAAATGTTTCTTGCAGATATTAATAAGCTTTTTTTCATCCCTCATCGTTTAGGTTTAGTTTCGTTACCATGGATAATACCATAAAGGTCATATCACACATAGCGAAAATTCATTCAATTCAACCTTCAACTCAACCTCAACTTCAACTCTGAAGACAACCCCGTCCGAAAACATAGGTGTGCTATACTTATCCGAGTTGGATCAACTGCTGTTCAACTCTTTCACGTCTCTTCGAAAGAGTTGAAGCAACTTCACAATTCAACCAATCAGGTGGCAGAAACCGCATGGGGTTATGGGATAGCACAAGTTAAAACAATATGGCGGCAAAGTTTAGGTAACGAAGCAGAGTATCTAATTTGTTATATATTAATTCAGGTGAGTTTTTAATTGAGTATTGATTTTAAAGTTATTTTATAAGAAGTATAAATCTGTTTCGATCCATTAAAGAAGTTTATGTAATAAATGTGTTATGTTTTTAACCGTGAATTAAAAGTATGATTTTCTACGCCAAATTCGCCAATCTGAAGTAAATTTTGCAAGTACGTAAAAGTAGTTTTGTTTTATATTTTGACATTACTTTAAATTATAAACAAATTTTATGAATTGCATTTAATCTTTTTTGTACGTAACTGTATATTTATTAGTATTCGCCGAATTCAAATATAGTTTTTTTTACAATTACTTTGCTCTTTCTATAGTTCCGATAAGATTATACCGGCAATTATTCTAGAGTTGGTACTGAATTCAGTGATTTTGAATATTTTTTTACAAAGGAAAAAATTGCGTTATAAAAAGTAAACTTACTCATACCTAAACAATATGCTGACAGAATTAATTTCTTTGTATTATTTTATTTTTAAACTGTATATTTGTCAGTATTCGCGGAATAAAAATTTGTTTTTTTCCAATTACTTTGCACTTTCTATTGACAAGTGGGCCCACCTTGAAAAAACCCACTTGGGACGCTAAGTGGGTTTTATTAAAAAAAATGTTTTTATTAAAACTTATTGATTCACATTTAATCTTATGTAATTTATTGTGTAGCATAAGTTTGTCAAATAGATCTGCATGCTTTATATGATTAAGTTTTTAATATTTATAAAGTTGAAGAAACTTGTATCTGTAATTTTGTATTACTATTAAAAACTTAAAGAGGGTTTTTTCAAAAAGTAATATTTAATGAAATTAGATTAGATGGAAATTTAAATAACATAGACTGTAAGGATCAATTTTTCAAATGCAGTTGCATTCTTTATATTATTAATAAGCAGGTTTTGAATAAATTATGAAGGAAGTTGAAAATATTTTTTTACCCGTTAAA